TGGATGGAGTGTGGGATTGTACTGGTGAAAGGGTTCAAATTTTTTAATCCTCTGTCTTCTAAAATATTCATCTACCTGAAGATGTCCTTGTGTTTTATTTAAGGACAAAGATAGTGATCACCTGCTGAAAATGTGAATGTCCAACTCGATGGATTATAATGCATACAATGACTTAGCTTTATGTCTCTCGTTTTTAGAACACTTTGTTATTTTGGTAAATGAGAATTATACGTCTTTTAAAACTGCCATCATTGATTTGATTCATTTTTTCCCTCTGTATGAAGAGTAGGAGTTAATAGTCTGCCCCTTTGCTGACATAAGATATTGTTTTAAAAATTACTTTAACTTGTCTAAATCTTGGAGACTGTTTTAATAAATTATGGCATATCTACAAGCAAGAATAATCTATTGCCCATAAATGTCAGGATTCGAAGAATATTTAATGACACAGGAAAATGTTCATGATATATTGTTTAAACACTAAAAGCTGGTTAAAAGTGGAATGGCTAATGTGATTCCAAGTTTGTAAAAAATAGAGATACACAGGAAAAAAAGGCTGAGATACAAGAAAGTGATGAACATTGCTAGTCCTTGGAGGATGGAATTAAAAATGAGTTTTAAAAGTCACTTTTGTTGAACCTTTAGGAAGTTTTCACTTCTTGCACAAGGAATGTAGATGGCTTTTGTAATGAGAGAAAATAACTTGTTAGCAAAATTACTTTGACTATTTTCTTGCCTTCCTGGGGATCTGAGACCCCATTTCTTGGTATTAAACACAGAGCATATCTACAGAAAAAATTCAGGGAAGTCACCAGGTTTCTGCTATTGTTTGATGCAAGTAGGGAAGTGGGGCAATGTTGCATTATTTCTCCCATCAGGATCCAGTGTTTTCGGGAAGGTTCCTGATTGACATCAAGGTGGAACATGGAAGTATGGCTGTCTGACTATTTTTCTGGGTTTAGTGAGCTGGCTAGATGCAACAACAGGGGTGCCTGCGTCTGCTATAACCCATCCTGTGGGGCTGGTAGGACTCTGTGGTCTGGAGAAGAGTTCAGGAGGGTGTTAGAGGGTCAAGTGGAGAAGCCTTGGACAGTCTAAAAACTTAGAGGAGGATCAGGGCCCCCGGCAAATAGAGTGGGGCTCTCAGAAGGATTCAAGACTCAGAGGGAAGTGTGACCACGCAGAGTGATCAAACAGAAAATCTAGTTGATGATGAAGATAATAACCCAGGCCCAAAGGAAGGCCCAATCAAGAATGGGTAGACGCAGGTGGCTCCCCAGGTGAGTTGGGGACGGCAAGAAAAATGCATGTTTTCTCCAAGTGTCCACTAGGTGGCAGATCCTTTCCTACTCTAAGAATTTGAGTCCGAGGGACTTCCGGACACTCGGGTTTTAAGAGAGGGCTGGTTAAATACAGGATCCCAGACCTCCTTCCAGAGCTTCCAATTCAGTGGCTTGGGACGGGGCCTGAGACTCTGCACTCCCAAGAAGCTCCAGGTGCTCCTAGTGCCACTGGTTGGTGAGCACCACGAAATGCATCATCTCAGACTCTGGGAAGGAGGAGGTGGGCAGGAGGAGGATGTGGTCCTCCTGCTACACTGTCAGTTCAAATTGTGGTGAAAACTCCAGGGAGGGGTGGTGTGGAGATGGACGGTGGCTTGAGGAAGGGAACAGGCCACTTGTTCCTAGCTGGAGATAGCCTCTGGTACTAAAGCAGATTTGAATTGTGAGCTCCGCAGCAGAATGGAAAAGCTGCAGAGATCTCATTCTAGTTAAAGATGTTACCGACCCATTTCATTAGGATGACTGTGTAGCAGATAGGAGCACAGGCATATGCAGAATAAAAAGAAAGCAGAATTCAGACCAAAATGAAAAATAAAATGTTAGATACATAACAAAAAATAAGCCTAAAGAAAAACATTAGGTATACTATAAAGCACAAGTCAGTGATTTTCAAATTATTTTTAAAGAAATACCCAGTTCATTACGGCTCAATACATGGTTCTGCACAAGATTTCATGTAGCTCTGGCCTCACATGACTGATAGGTAGGTTTGGTGACACCCAGCTGGTCTACATCCTGGTCAGTGAGGTGGATCCACTGCTCATGCGTTTCAATGTCAGTGGCAATGCCAAATTGCTCTAAAAGTGTTTAAAGCTTGTTCTCAGTTTCTGTGCTCGCATCGGTAGGGTGGTAACAGTCATAGTCTGCAGAAGAATCTCTGTCCACAGACCACACTTATGGGTGCACTGGTCTGGACTGGCTAGATTACTGCTTTGGGAGATGGGCTTATTATACAATGACAAGCAGTCAATTTGTTCTTTTGACTCTTGCAATGCAGATCTTTAACACTTTTGTATCCTTAAAGGCTATTTGGTTCTTACTAGTTCCATGTGGGGTCCTTGAAATGGGGCTACCTGGATGTTCTTGTAGCCCTGCTGCCATTTCTTCATGCTCGGACATCAGTGACAACGTCCCACAAATAGTAGACAATAAATACTGATGGGGTGAATGAAAGGATTTATAGCCCAGGACTGAGATGTCAAGCATGCTTGTGGGCTAGACGAACACACCCAGGAAATAAGTGCCAGTGTAGATGGACGTCACAATAGAACTTTTCTCACAGTGACTCTCTAGGGGTAGCAGGTGAGCAGAGCAGAGGGAGGAGAACAAGGCTGGAAAAGGAGAGCCCAACGAATCGCACTGCTTCCCTGGCCTCACTGGTAAATACAGGTGTGCGGATGGGTGAAATTCAGTTAGTCCGGTTCTTGGGCCAGGTCAGCGCAGGCTTCCTGGGGCCATTATCATATTGAACCAAGGCACTGGCTCATATCTATGCCAAGCTGAACCCTGGTTAGTCTGGAAACCACAGGAAAGTTTACTTTAGTTTTTTCCCTTTAATACTAGAATCTTGAGGAAGAACGTCAACAATTTATTTATAGTGTCTTATGAAATAATTCTCAGACTTTCAGCAGAAGAGAGCTAAATGATTGCAAAATCAGCTTTAACCTCCCTGAAATGTCACGTGCCCCCCTCATTTGTTTGTCTGCCCTTCCTCCCAGCTCCTCACCATTCAGGCGCACAGTGCGGCCCAAGGAATTGATGCGATCTAATGACGCCGAAGTAATTGTAACAATCACAGTAATAACGATAGTTGCTACTTAGAGAGCACAATGTGAGAGGTATTATGCTAAACACCAACATTCCTATTTAATTTTTATCAACAGTCACGTAAGTTTGCTTAAGGACAGAAATTTGAAGAGCTTGGATTCTAGCCCGAATATGTCAGGCTCAAAAATGTGGTCTTAACCCCCGTATTACACTTGTGGTCTTAAATCTAAACAGACTCTTTCCTTTTGCTTTAAGGTGAACTAACAAACTGAAAAGTGTACAGTGTAGGGAACTCAAGATCCCCAAGGCCAATCTTTCTTGTAAATGATTGAGATAAAGATGGGTCTATGATTGAATGAAAAAATGAATAGATATGGGTAACAACGAAGAACAAACTGAAGAAGAACAAACTGAAGGAGATTTTGTTGGTGAGGTCCTTGGATCACGAGCACACTGCATTTTCTGTTAGCATTTCCTGTAAACCAAGGACTGGCATGGTTTTAATGCCAGCCCATAATATTTGAAGACACAATCTGGTCACAAATGCTGAGACAAAACCTCAGTTGTATTTCAGAGAAACATGTACAAACACACAGATACACACCCTGCCCTAGATCCTGACTCCTTTGAAAAAACTTACGTTGTTCTTTCTCTAAATATCCCGTTCAATTTCTCAACTCTCCTAAGTAATAAAGATAAGGAACAAACACAAATCTCCTCAAAGAGAACACAGATGGTTTTGACTGTTCTCAAATCAGAGCTTACGCCACTGTGTTATTATTTTTTTAAAGATAATCTTATTTTCATGTGAAACCATCTACACACTCAACTTCCCAGGTTAACTGGCAGTTCCAAGAAGCCTTTGAAGGGTTTCCAGAAAAGCTAAAGGACCAGCAGGGATTTTTTTTTGAGAGGGATAAATAGTATCATGTTTTTATGTCTAAGTTAGAAGAGTTTGCAAAAGTCCTTCATGGCTCGTATATAGGAGTCTTTACAAACTTTCATGAATATCTTGAATGTGAATGCCAAATTTTCAAATACCCAAATTAAAGTTTTATCACGAGTCAAAGTCCTTCCAAGAAAAAACAAAACAAAAGCCTTTTTTTAAAACACGCTAAATTGAAACAGAATGGGAAGTTGCGTGAACTTGGACATTTAAAGACACCAATTAATTTCTCGGACATTTGAAGACTAATTTAAGAAGCAAAGATTTTGGGAGCCCTAAGACAATAAAGCGATCAGCATGAAGACATCTGTCAGAGTGGGGGCCGCCTGGGGTAAAGACCCATTAAATCTAATGCAATCAGGAACTTAGGCCAGTGCAACAGATTTTTTACGAGGTGATAACCTCCTAAAACCATAATCTCGGCCTTTCAGGATGATGACACAAGGATTTAATGAGTTAAAAAAACCCAACTTAAAACCTCTCTTTTGAACGTTAATTGTCTATTCAGTTTAAAGGTAGACTGTGAGATCCCTTTAGCTGCTGGCACAATCAGGAACAGAAATGTATGCTCACAAGCACACACACATACACACATTTCAGGGCAAGTCCTTGGATAATGATGGCAGTATCTGCTTCTGCTCAGATTCAAAAATAGAACTAAAGCCAAAACTAACAACTCTTCTTCTAATTAGAGAAATGCAAGTGTCTTCTTCCCAAGTGCCCAATCCAACAGGAAACGGAAATTAACTGCTTTCCTTTGGAACCCCCTTATTTATTTGTGTTTAAAAGAAGACCTGGGGAGCGAGCAACCTCATGACAGAATAGCTGGGGAGCACAGGTAGACAGAACACATTGGAATACATGGAGACGGAGCGCACAGTTACCACAGAGAATGTTTTTCCCTTGTCGAAACGCTTGTAACGGTCTAATAAAAATCTGGTTACCTTTACATTTCTTCTCTTCCGTTTGGAAGGTCTGGGCACTTGGGATGCTCTGATCATTCACATCGTCGTGGTCCAGATGGAATATTGAGCTAGTCCAAGTGGTCTGGATGAGGTGTGGCGAGGACTGTTCATTTTTCAACGTGCCGTGCCTCTCCGAATGGCTTTTCCTGTGCAGGCAGGCTTCGGACATTCCTCCTAGCTTCCAGTCGGGTTCTTGGTCTGCACAGTGCTTCGGTTTGTCCCAGGCTGGAAGGCCATTTTCTGGAGGGTTGAAAAATACGAGATGATGAGCTGTTGGCATTGTCAAGATTCTGTTGAGATGCGGTCCTGGAAGGCAAGTTGTTTCTCAATTCTTTTGGGCTGACGGTATTCACACGCATCTCCGCTTGACGGCAGTGATAAGATGCAGGGTTTGTCAGCCTTGGGCGTGTAGCCACCGCAGTTGGATTGCCTGTCGGAGTAATCAACACATTCCTCCGTATTTTTAGTGCCTACAAAGACATTAGTTCCTCCCTGGGAAGGCTGTGCTTTCTCCAGTCTCGCCTACACAGCAATGGCCCGAGAGCAAGTTCACGCCAATTTACGTGACCGCTTAGGTGACCTTTCGAGGTCTGGAGGGTCAGGGCTGGGTGGGAACACTGTTCAGATCCTGAGGACACAGAACATCCTGGATTCAGCCCTTGTTTGACTTGGGTTTTATCACAGGCTGACCTGAGGGGCACCCTGGTACTTAAGTGGGGCTTGTTCACGTGTCTAACCTGAGTGACATCTCTGTTCCCCCTCAACCTCTGGTGGCCTAAAGGGAGCAGGCTGGGTCTTGTAAGTGGTTTCAATGTAGTATTAAATTGGCAGTGAGATCCCATGAAGCACAGCAGGTGTATTTGAGTTGTGGAGTGAATGAAGAGCCCCAGTGATGGACCTTTTTGATTGAGGTACAGGCAGGTACTTATTTACATATATTATTTTTTTTCTATTTCATCGAGAGGGACTTGGAAGTCAGTCCTCTAGAAAATGGGGGGAAATGGAAATATATAATAACAACCTCCTCACACTAACCTTCCCTAGTGGTGAATTCTACCTCCTTAATATCTTAACTGTACATGGATATAAAGCAGAAAGTAAAAATGAGCAAGCTAATACGTGTATTTGTATTTGCATAGACATTAAAACATGATCCATCTGGTCATTCATATTTCCAGAAAGTCTTAGGCTGCTGTCAAAATGAGAAAAAATATAATATAAACACAGTTCTACTTTTAAAGTCATCACATACAGTGATTGAAAGGCTATGATTTATAAGTAAATTATTTTATGCTGCATTTACCAAAGGACTATAGGTGTCCATATCAGAAAGATAAGTCCCCCATGATCCACATGTAGTACTGGACATTGTGAGCTGTTTTCAAACATCTAGTATGATTTTTAAATTATTTAACACAAGGGCTAAAAACAGTCCAGGTTTCCATAAGAAGCCTCTGTGAAGCTTTGAGATGTCTGCAGTTGATGTCAGATAGGATGGGTTCTCTGTAAGTGTAATCTACTCTTAGTTACTTTTGGAAGATCCATTTTACTCTGCTGGGTCCCCGGGTTCCTCTGTGAAAATTCTGGTACCCACGCACTCCATCCCGACTCCCGGAGAAGACTGTGAGCAACCACAACAATGAAGTCATAACATGATTTCTTTGTCACATTAGTGGAACTGCTGTGGCTTGAAATATGTTGCCTTCACCAGTACGTGACAATCCCTTTTATTTAAAGATTTTATTGATGTTTTTTAGAGGGAAGGGAAGAGAAGGGAGGGCAAAAAGAGAGGGAGAGGCACATTGATGTGAGAGAGAAACATCGATCAGTTGCTTCTCATACACACCCTAACTGGAGATTGGGCATGCAACCCAGGCCTGTGCCTGGACCGGGAATCAGCCCAGCGACCTTTCTCTCTGTGGGACTCCTGAAAAACTAAGCCATACCAGCCAGGGTGCAACAATCCCTTTTAAAAAGTCATGCATTATAATAGCTTGTGGATTTAACATTTGCTCTTATTCAGAGAAGAGCCCTGAAAATTCACTCTGTACAGAGAGCTGTGCTGGGCATTGTATGAGCTCAGCTAAATAAACCCGGGGCCTTTCTCCTAAGAGTTTCCATGGCATTCTTCAGTGCATGGTGTAGACTCGGCCATGCCAGCTACCGGTGCTATTACAGGCATTCATGCTCCCGATCCATTAAAAGAAAATAGATTAAGATCTTGGGAGACTGTATTGCATTTCAGACTAAACATATCTGTGTAGAATCCATTCAAGTACCTATTATCCATGAGGGTTTTGAGGTGTGCATGAACTAAATATAAAGTTACTGAGCCCTGGCTGGCATAGCTCAGTGGATTGAGTGCAGGCCTGCGAACCAGAGTACCGCGGTTCGATTCCCAGTCAGGGCACATGCCTGGGTTGCAGGCCAGTTCCCAGCAGGGTACTCACGAGAGGCAACCACACATTGATGTTTCTCTCCCACTCTTTCTCCTTCCCTTCCCCTCTCTCTAAAAAAAACATAAATAAATAAAATATTTAAAAAAAGTTACTGAATGCAAGAGTTAATTCTGCGCCTAAAGAGATCCATTTTACTTCTACAGACATGAAACGCCTCCTCACCCACGCGTGTTCCTGCCATGTCTACTTTAGTTTCTGGGACTCTCCAAGTCCTTGGCAAACTGCATCCTGCAAAGCTCCATTTGAAGCAATGTTAAAGTTGTCTGTCACACTAGTTTGTGAAACCCCCAATATTTCATTTTTTTCCTGCAGAAAAATGTAAAATTTGGTATTCATTTCCCTGCCCGAATAGCAATTAAGTAATACAGCCAAACTGGGTTGTCAGTGCTCCCTGGGGAAGGGAGCTAGTGCACGTGCTTGGATAAGAGATGCCCAGAGGGATTCTGCCCAAGGGGACGGTTCCTCCAGAGAGAACATCTGCGGAGGCTGCTCAGCTTTTCCCCCGGGCCAGCAAGAGTGGGCTTTTTCCTAAGTAAGGGGCTGCATTAGGGGTGGGGCAGGGGATAGGATTGCCTTCCATTTTCCTAAGAAAAGAGGCCGGGGTGGTTTGGGAAAAGGGTTTCATTCACCGGAGGCATTTATGAGCTCATAAGTACTGTCTGTAATTACATTCATGATAATGATATCCAGATTCAGTTGCTTAATTGGTAGGTTTATAGGTTGGGGACACTGCTGGGAAAGCTGGGGGCTGAGAAGTTCTGGTTGGGTGACGGGGAAACTTCAGAGGGATTTATTTAAGTGACACTCTTGAGTCTCATCCTCCCCAAACGGGGATGGGGGCCACATACAGTTTCTATCCCATTCCCAAGGAGAGAAAAGGCACCTCCTACACCAGGCTCCTTGAATCCTGCCTACTGGTTTGCTGTCACTGGGACAAATATAAGTTACCTCCACACAGGTTTGCTTGGCAATAATGGTTTCCAGGAATTTCCTGCTAGTTCTACATCTACTCCTCACATCCTTTGGTTCCCCCAAAACTCAAACCAATGAGATATTTTTTAGAGGGATTAAAATATCAAACGGTTAAGCCAGTGATCCCCAAACTCGGATGAGTGTCAGAATGACCCGAGGCGCTGTTAATGAGCATGGAGACCCAGCTTGTCGAAGTCGCTTGGGGACTGTGCATTTGTGTGTTCACCAAGCCCCCCGCTGACCCCCATAAAGCAGAGTTTGGGATCCACAGGGCTAAGAAAATCTAAGGTAAGAAAACCAACTATTGGCAAGTTTTGGGTAAGTGTGCAATCTCCTTCTCAGACTCTAATGTTTTATATAGTTTTGGAGTAAATGTGTGTTATAAAGAAAAATTTATCACTTTGAGATCTACCGTGTTAAGCACTAAGAGTCAGATGTTAACTGTATGGATGTAAGTAGACTTCACTCAAAAAGTCTGTTGTTTTGAGCATGATCGGGGGTACAATGTACACAATAATAGAAGTACATTTTGCTTTTAAAAAGGGGGATTCTAGAAATGATCATACTGTGGTCAGCATGTGGAATATAAATCCTTTGCTCTTTAATGGATCTCAGCTAACATCTGGCCTTTACTACTTCATGTTCTAGCACTAAGATACTTAACCGATTTAATTGGTCAGTTATGATGCCAATAATAAAAAGTAGAATCAAAGAAAACGACAAGGTAAGGACACCTGAACTGTGACTACAATAGCTTCTCCACGCTGGTCTGCATGTCCCCAGGGAGTTTGGGTGGGAAGGGCGGAGTCTGTGTTAGGTGGCTGAGATTCTCGAAGCTTTGAGTGACGGGGCACCGCTGCAGATGGTTCTTGGGCAGAGGAAAAGCAAACACACATCTAATTAACATAACGACCTGCAGCCAATCTCTGGAAATTTCATTAAAGGTGATAGGAAAGAAATCTGTCCATCAAAGAAGGGGGAATTATATTAAAATATTCAAGTATTTCAGGACACCAAAGCGAGCCGGCCGCCTAGGAAGGAGCCAAAGCAGAGGAAGTAGGATTATGACAACGGGGTCAGGAAGGGTCAGCGGAGTGGGCAGGGATTTCAGGGCACTCATAATAACGGGGTTTACTTTGCATGAAAAGGCCGTCCATGTTAGGTATTGATACCCCAAGCCATATTCTGTATTAGGGGCATAGCATATAAAATGCTTGCTCAGACAATGTGTAGAATTATCATTGCATAACATCAGGCTATTAAGTATGATGTCTAATTTCTCAGGCTTATGTACCTATCAACCTATTTTTATTTGTGGACTCATGTAGAACTGGAGACTCATATTTGGCTGATATTGAGCTAAACACTTAAAAAATGTTATCCTCACGGGTGGACATTTTTTTCATCCCTTTTTAGGATAGAGCGAGAGAGACAGAAAGAAAACCATCAGCTGGCTGCTGCCCATATGTGCTCTCTGACTGGGGATCGAACCCACAAAATGGGTTCTGACTGGCTTAGGGCTGGGAACTTTTGGTGTACAGGCAATGCTCCAACCAACTGAGCCACACTGGCCAGGGCTGAGCTAGACACTGTTTTTGTCTTCAGGAACATCCCGGAAAATACACAGTGGTATACTCCTTGATTGATAAGGAACCTACAATTCACAGCACTTCATCTGCTCTTTTATATCTTTTGTATTGGTTAACTGACTTGTCTCATTATTTGACTTAACTTGATGAGTGGCCACTGGCCTATAAATAGCTATAACTTTATTAGTACTTTGAAAGTTCTTTATTAACTGTGTTTATT